ACACACACACACATAACAAAAACACATACAAAGAGGGCCGGAGAGGATTGTGATGTGCTGAGTGATGTTCATGTTCAGGAATGTGTGTGTGTTAGGGGGGAAATAATGTGGGTTGTTTGTGTGTGTGTGTGTGTGTGTGTGTGTGTGTGTGTGTGTGTGTGTGTGTGTGCAATACAAAGGCCCCTTTGTGATCAGGTACCACCACCCACCCCCCACAACCTCCATCACTCAGAGATGTATCTGCAGCTCTCCATCATTCTTGTTCTAACCTGTGAAAACACACGTCACCTGATTATACTGCGATGGGACTACAATACTTTACAATCATACTTCAACAAGTACTGGTTATTTACTCATACTTGTAAAGTAGCTGTTTAGAGATAACGCAAACACAGAATATTGCAAATAAATAACTATTTAACTCTTCATTCCAAAATAAAAATAGTCAATAGCTTTTTGTTTGTACGTCAATACGTCAGTAAATAACCCACCGGTGAATGTCCGAAACTTCTATTGTCATGAAAAGAGATTTAATAAACTACTAAACATCGTCACGCCAAACATTAGCCGCCTTTAGCTTAGCGTTAGTGACCTGAAGTCACGTGATCGTGCTGTAGTTCCTTTACAGCCTTACAGTACGTTAGCTTTTTACCTCAAAAATCATAACGTGGTGTTAATATGTGGAGATTATCCAGCTGAACAAACCCACTACCAGATCATATCATGAATCATACGTCCATGTTTACAGCGGGTAGATTTGTTTAAAACATACTGAAATGTTTACATCTGAGGCTCTCTAACAAGCCTTTTGCTCAGCTTGGTTGTTGACTTGAAGAACAAAACACTCAGATTGTTTTTCTGGTTGTTCGCAACAGATATTATTAATGAAACTCAAGAACATTACAACAGAGGGGAAAAATGCAGATTTGGAAGAAGTGGTGTTTGTGCAAACAGGCTGCTGCCTCCTGTTCTCCTCAGATAGGCGCTGTCATACGAGAGGCCGGCGTAGGGATAAGCTAGTCTAAAACAAAGTAGTTCTGAGACATGTTTTAATCCTGTTATTGGTGTTAACATCTTCATGTCATCCACTCATCAATGTATCCCTATCAATGCCACTTTATATACAAAATATCTGAACTTTAAGGTTTGAAATTGTCCTTTTAATAATGGGACTAACATTTTAAACCGTTTTCTGATTGTTTACATGGAAAATGGCAGACGTAGTGATACACTGCTCCACAACAAAGTAGTTCTGCAACAGAAAGAGGTCAGAATGGGCTATTCTTTACAACACCCTGCTGTTGGTATCATCCCTTTATCGATATATTCCCATTGATACCAGTTTATGTCCTAAAAATGTGAATTTCAAGGCTATACATTTCCAAATCGTCCTTTAATAACACGAGAAAAAAGCTAAACACTTTGAACTTTCTATCATAGTGAGTGTGTGGGAGAGAGCGCAGAGCTTATATAAACTGAATGACAGGCCACACACACACACACACACACACACACACACACACACACACACACACACACACACACACACATACACACACACACACACACACACACACACACCCACAC